AATTTAAATGCTATATTTAATCTATATGTTCTAAGTTTATAATAATGCTTCTATTATGAGTAAGTTTGTTAATAAGATGAAATAAACTTATTTTTATAATTTTTACCTTTTAAACTTACTTTTTGGACAATTGTTTGATTAAACCTTTGAACATAAGGAGTATCAAAGTCATATATAGGACCAGCATGTCGTATGGAAAATATTATATGGCCATCTTTAGAAAATAAGTCCTCTATCAATAAATATTCCAAAAGGTCTAGTAAATGTTAAATTCTTTTCAATAAGCTTTCTGTAGGGCAGAAAAGTGTATCACAGATGTTGGAAAATTCCACTGAAATGGCCAGGCTAATACCTTATGGCCTAACCACCCAATTTCTAAAATATATCCCAAATACTCTTTGGGCATATTTGCTAAAAAGAATTTTTTATAAATTAAAATGTATCAGAAAAGTGGATTTTTCTCAGATAAATAAAAAAATAAAATCTACTAGGAAATGAAATTTATCCCCTTGTAAAGTCACTAGGGACTCCTTGTTATGTGAAAATAAGAACCAGAGCTATTAAGTTATAGCCATGACATCTTATATTTCAGGTTATCCAGTGCTTATTTTAAAAGCTCAAGAAAGATGCACACAGATTTAAGGCAGGAGCATAAAATTGCAACTGAAGACAGTAGGAAAAAAATTTATTGGAAAGGACCGAGTATCACAAATATATATTTTATAAGTATTTTTGGCCCCTATTTTATTCTGCATTTTAAATACTGCAAAATGGTTGAATTGAAACACGGCATTTGGAAAAAGAACCACAACCTTGTAACATAATGGGATACACATTTTGACATGAAAATGAATACATTTGAATATTCCAAATAGCTTATGTTAGGGTTTGTGTCTAGGTATTCCCCAAAGCCTCGTGTGTTCAGGTGGAGCTTTTTCCGAGGTGGCTGAATCTAGAGTGTGTGATGCTCAGATTAAGGTATGTGGTTTCTATATCAGTACACTAATTGGTTTGGTACCAGCCTAAGTCCGTTGGTCTAGATAGAGCATAAAAGAGGGAGTGCTACCTTCTGCTCATCATGACTTATTTCTCCTCTGTGATGCTTGTCTGTTGTGCTACCCTGCCTTGGAGCCAGCTGATTATGGAGTGAAACCTCTACAAACTATGAGCCAAATAAACCTTTCCTCCCTTAACCTTGGGTTTCAGATATGATATATATATATTATAAATCTCAGCAACAAGAGAAAAGCAGTGAAACCAGAGAAGTGGAATTATTGCTGTGACTATACTTGGCCATATGGTTCAGAAGCCTTGGGAATGGAATGGGGGAAGAGTTTGGAAAGGTTCAGAGATGCCAGCTGAAAAGCAGAACTGGAAAATGCTTTAGATGGTACTTGATGGGAGATTCTGGTCAGAGCTCAGAAGATCAAAAGGTGACAGAAATTCTGCCAATGAAGACCAGACTCAGGAGGTTTCTGTTGGGAAGGACTGAATTGGCTATTGGACTTCAGACAATGTGCATTACACCTTGGCAGAAAGTTTGTCTGTATTTTTCTCGTGTCTAAAAATTTTGCCTGAGATTAATATAAAGGGTGGCAGACTAATCTTACAAAAGAAATTTCAAGGCAATCTAATGTTGAAGTGGTGGCATGGTACTATTAGGAAATTTTAGCCAGATACATGTTGAAAATCAATAGGAAAGATCCAAACATAACGATTCAAAATGTTGTGATTTGGGCTATAAAGAAAGCTCCAGTAAAGTTATACCCTGCAAAGAGGGAACAGAAGATATAATGGTTGGTAAAAAGACCAGTAAGTAAAAAACAAATACTTCAGAAGAAAATAACAGAAAAGATGGGCTGGGGAAGTGGTGGCATGGTACTATTAGGAACTTTTAGCCAGAAACCAACAGGACTCTAGCCTTTGCAGCCTCAGAATTGCCAAGGTGAAAGGCTTTGCTCTGAGAAGAGTCCTAAGAATGGCAGAAGTTTAGGAAGTTGTTCCTTGGGATTTGTTTCATAGGCGCTCAACTCCTACAGCCAGGAGAGAAGGAAGCCTGGCTACTGTTCTAGCTGGCAGCAGATCTTAGCATCATCCATATGATGATCCTAATGCTTGTTTCAGGGGCATGAAAAGTACAAGAGTTGTGTGGTCAGAGAGGGTTCCACCCGGACTTTAGAAGAAGGCCTGGATGGCCAAGCAGTGTGTCCCCGAGAGGGCAGTGTGTGAAGCTGTGAGTGTGAAGCTAGAGGTACGGTGGACACCCCAGAGATTTAGAGAAGCCAGAGACATGAGCCATCAGAGGAAAACTTGGAGGAAGATCAGAGCAGGGCCAAGAAAGAAGCCATGAGAGCTACAATCACCAGAAGTACTGTAGAGGCGGAGCTACCCAAGCCTCAGGAGTTTACATCTTGTACAGACTGACTTAGATGCTGCACATGGAACTACAGGACTTAATGTTTGCCCTGCTGGATTTGGGGCTTGCTTTGGTCCTACTCCTTTGTATCCCCCTATTTGTACCTTTTAGCATGGTAATGTTTATCTTATATTATTGTATATCAGAAGTGTTTAACTTTCTTTTCATTTGTACAGGGACTCCCAGCTAAAAGTTTGCCTTAATCTCAGAGAAGAATTAGATTTTTAAGTGATGCTGAAGTGTTAGGACTTTGGCAACTCTTAGAGATGAACTAAATGCCTTTTGCATAAAGGAATGTGCATGCGTCTTAGGGCCTAGGGGCAGAATATATGGCATAAGCCTAGATGTCCCTCCAAAGCCTCGTGCAGTCACAGGTGGAGCTTTTGCAGAAGTGGCTGAGCCTAGAATGTGTGATGCTGGGATTAAGGTGTGTGATTGCTAAATCATTCCACTGATTTGTTTGGCACTGGCTTAATCCCAGTAGCCTAGATAGTATATAAAAGGGGCCAAAAGAAGCTGATAAGGTCCCTTGCTTACTTTGTCGTCTTTTACCTTCCATCAGCTGTTTCTCTTCAACAGTTCCCCTCTGCCACACTGCCCTGCCTCAGAGCCAACTAACTGTTGAACTCAAACCTCTACAAAGTAGGAGCCAAATAACCCTTGCCCCTTTTAACTTTAGGTGTTGTGCATTTTGTCTCAGTAATGAGAGAAGAGAAAGACAGTTGATGTTAAAGTTTGTATTGGATTTTTTTTCATCAAACGTTTGATTTATGCTTCACTCAATTCTGATTTTCCTGTAATTTATTTTTTTGGGGAAGGTCTCAGCATACAGAGGATTGTGGTGAGAGTTCAGGCTTTGGAGTCACACACATCTATCTGCCTTCAGAGGGGAAATGTGCCCATGATCACATTGAATAAGACCATGCCTGCTCTGGAAAGGCATGTTGCATTTGGAAATCTCTAGAGTACAAAAGAAAGACAACTGAGTCAGAGAACAGAGGAGTTATTTTTAGTTGGAATCCATTCATTTTTTACTGTCTGAATTTCTGTCTACATTTCAGGTTTCCTTATTCTTATCTATCTCCATTAATCAAATAATATGCTGGAAAGAACTTTGTTTACATTCTCAGTGGGAGGTATCACTTAATTTGGTGGCATTCGAAATATTACTGTAGTGCAGCAGTCGACAGGCACTCAACAGTGGTGAAAAATGTATGAAGTCACAGATCAGACTTTGTGTGCTGATGTGGAGAACATGTTTTTGCTCCAGTAGATGATATGAAAATTCCTCTGTCACTGATGATGGGAAGGTGAACCTTGAAGGTTCCTTTGAGGGACACTTAGCTCTGAATACAGTGGAAAGGCAGAGAAATCTGAGGCTGGGTATGTGGTTGGGCTGCCCTTGAGTGTCTCACTTGGGATGAGAAGGTTTTGGGTAGGGCAACAAGACCTTTGCAGGTATATGAAGGAATACTGGGGCTGGGATCAGTGCTCCATGAGACACACTCTGCAGCCCATAACAAAAGCAAATGCAGTGGCCGGGGATGAGAGGAAACACTGGCCTATTCCCTTCTTTCTACAGTCAGTCGTTTCATGTCACTTGCTATATTTTCTCTCCACACTTCAGGGCATCAGGAAGCCATAGCTGTGTGCCTACACATCCAGACCCAACAGACAGTCAACGACAGCTTGTGCGACGCAATGCACCGGCCCCCAGCAATGAGCCAGGCCTGTAACACAGAGCCCTGCCCACCCAGGTATGTGATAACAGCCTTCCATGCAGACAAACTCGCCTGTGCACCGAGTCCACAGGTTTGCCCAAGCCTACGACATCACTCCCTCTTCTCAGTCTTATTCTATTGGATCCTGGCAGAGAGCTTCACAGGTAGCCCCCATGAGCTGCAGTTCTCTGAGTCTGACTTTTGATTGCTTCAAACAGAAATGAACAAAAACATGGCCTGTTCCTGGAAAACAACAAGGTCAATGAGTTTGATCTCTTCTGTGTCCTGTTTTTTCCTCTAATACCCCAGCAGAGAATACAGGACCTGGTGCTGAGTTTGCATTAGTCTGCAGTAAGTGCTTGTTGAATGGTCATGTGATCACCTATTTGTTACCTGGGGCACACTTAAGGATGTTACCTTTCCCGTTGTCTTGCCCTGAATCTCTGAGTGTGATGTGTGTTAGCCCTGAAAGAATGGAAGCATAAATTCTTTTGGGCCTCGTTAGTCTAAAAGATTGGCCTTAAAAGTTAGCCTTGTTGGTGCATAAGTTCCTATAAGACCTTGGGGAATGTTATCAGAAGGGAGGTAAAGTTTCCCTATGTTGGTCAGATCCTGGGTCTTGCTGGTTATTAATAATAGTGAAGCATTGTCACTGGCTTGTCACATGTAACCACTTCAAATGTTGCCTGTCTTCTTCCTCCTGCCCCCTTTACTTTGATTACCTCAGCCACTCTTCTGTTCTTAGTTGCCAAAAGATTCTGAGCCCGTTCCATGCTCTCCCAGCTTGTAGCCTCTGCCATTCCTGGGCGTGTGAATGGCATGCTTCCTGTGACTTCACATTGTTTTCCTTTGGCACATTTCTGTGTTCAAATTTTCCCTTTTCACAAGAACAGCACTCAAGTTGGGTTGGCTCTACAGTACTGGCCTCCTTATAACTTGATCATCTATGCAGGTGCTCTCCTAGTCTCAGATACGAGGAGTGTCTTAGTTACTATTCTCTCATTGCTGGGACAAATACCAGACACTCAAAATGAGGGAAGGAAAGGTTTATTTAGCTCACAGTTACTGGAGGTTTCAAGACACTGGAGGAGGGGCTGAGGCACTGCTGTGTCCAGGATGACCCTCTCCACATCTCTGAGAAAGCACAGGCTAGGCAGTTTAAA